GAAAAACATAATCTCAGTCTGTCTCATAACAATTACGTACGTTTTAAAAATTTAATGAGCGCGAATGGCAATTGAAAGTCGCAAAATACTCTCCGAATCAACTAACTTRACGCTCAAGGTTCATCACGTTGCGAATAGTTTTATATTTTTCTTTGGCCTTGAAATAAACATTTTATCTCAAAAAAAGGGTTTTCTCAACGCACGCTGACATGCAGTTGACTTACCGAATAGGAACATCAAGATAAGATAGAAGATACACATGACAGCCATATTGAAGTCCATTGGAAGTAAAACTTTTAAATTCTCGTGTAGATGATGATACTCAGGTATTCACTGTCCTTCGATGCGAGTCTGAATGACTTAATTCAGTTGAACGCGTATATGCTGATGTGTTCCACTCACTTTTCTCTTCTGGAATGACATCTGTAGTTTAGATGCACCTTCTCAAATACTAACTTGTATTCAAATGCCATACTGAGAGTCAAGGCCCACCTGATGACATTCTTTGATGGATGTTATTACGTTATCTACCTCACCCACCCATGATACTTATTGATTCTTAGTGAAAATTCTGTGTTTTTCTCCAACACACGCTGTTTCGCTCAATTTCATGTAATATCAATTAGCCATATAAAGAAAAACTTTGCTCACCTCTTTGTGATACCCAGTGATTCTGTTAACATTGTCAAAGCTCGCCGACGAGTGGGACAACGTGAGAATCCATGAAATCATGAAGCAAAATATTTGCTTGTAGCTAAGGAAAAAGAGGTTGTTATATAAACAATTCAACCAAGTAACAATGTTACGGAAACTTTGACATGAAAATTCAGTATCTCAAATTTGACAACCTTGTTATAYTGTATCTGGTTTGTAATATCAAGCATGATTTATCAGTCTTGCCTTCAAATTGTTTTGGAAAAAGCTTGAAACTGGTATACAAATTACTTTCTTCTGTACAATACCATTATTATTTCTAAACTCCTCGTATTTTGTACCTTCCTTTGGTAATTTCTGGAATTCCATTCTTTTTTGTTTTAAATTATTCCCAAGGGCGGATCCAGGGGGAGGGTCGGGGGGGTCGCGACCCCCCTATCATTCCTGAGGTCAAATGGGCTTCCTGTGGTTAAAATGCGACCGGGATTCCTTTGCCCACAACATTTTCCCCTGAGACCCCCCTTCAAAAAATCCGTGGATCCGCCCTTGATTCCGAAWTTTGCTTGTAGATGAATAATATTAGATAATTCCAATATAGCGAAACAATGCAAATATTCCATCTTTGTATAGTGACTTATAAATCACTTATGATTTTCATTGTACAGACTGAACTGTCATCTTTGATAATTGTGGATGATGTTAAGATTTGTTGCTAGGTTTTGATGCTATTTCAATAAATACATTTCTTAAACAAAGAATTGATTAGATTAGAATTAGATTAGATGAGATTAGAACTACAGCTACAATTGCCCTGATTTCATTTTTTGGCCCGTACTGTAAGATGGTTTTCTCAACAAGCAATAAACACATGCAGGCATGGGGTAATAGTTCAGGGACCGGTTGTACGAAGGGTGGATGATAGCGCTATCCGACGAATGAATCCTTATTCAGTGGATAAATCGATGCTGTTATTTAATAAATTTATCTACTGTATAAGAATTTATCCGCATCGCTTTTTAYGTTTTCTAAATTCGTTTAAAGCATTATTTTATCTCAAAATCAGCATTGAACAGGAATGAGAATCTACGAGTAAAAATGACTTGAAATCGAATTGAATAGCGCAGCGCAGCCGTGACGTCATAAAAACAAAGACAAAGGCGAAATTCGGACAAACAAACTTACAAGTTTACTTTCAGCAGATAATTTTCACAGCCGATCGCAGTTGATCTTAGTTTACATAGGTTATTATTGGAACTTTAAGTAAAAATAATGAAATCGGTTCGTGTAATCCTCGTAGCGGTTAAACAGAATGCAATGTTTGTCCGAATCTTTAAGCTATTTTTAGAATCAGTGCGCTGCGTAATTGAAGGTCGTGCCGTCATGCAACTTGTAAACATATTTTTCTGTTTTGGGCTTTCTGTGGTGTTTGCTATAGATGATCACCCAACATGAAACGAAGCTGCTTCAATGCGGAAATGTATGTCGAACACTGATTGTGACCACAAAACATCGGTATAAAAAGAGAGGGGTTTCAAACTGTTCCTTGAAATTTGTACAACAGATTCACAGATCACAAATTCACAGATCGACACCAATCGTACTGTTAAAGTTATGTGGAATTGAAGGTATTTTGATTTCGATGTGTCTGTACGAGTTAGATGTAAACACGAATCGAAAGTTTATTTGCATTGTTTATCTGCGAGTGTAGTAAAAAATCGAGGTTATTTTGCAGGGTTGATGATGCAGTGTTTTTAACTTAATATTAGTATTATCTCATTACCACAAAGCTAGCTAAAGCTTCAAATCTGATCTATAAAAAATAGTGTTTCAAAGAGTCATACTGTTCAAACCGAAAAGCTAGGGCTTGCGGGTCACTGTAATTAAATATTATTTTCTTGAAGTCTTAACATATGCAAACGGTACAAACATGCAATATGATAAACTTWACTTTAATTTTGATAGCAACTGTATATTTTTCGATGTCAGTCGTTCTCAACTTTTTGAATAATTTCAATCCGGCCGAAGGTTTATAAATGCAAATACATTTCAATAACAAAGTATGTATATGTTGTCCAAGTTGGTTCATTGTCAAAGCTAAAAAATATTTAGGACCCAATGTTAAAAGCAAAAACCTTTTAATCTTTATTATTTTAGCTGTAAGGTAATTTAGCCATAAGGTAATGTTACAATAAGTGTTTTCTTTTTACAGATATTGCTACATCATTATGATTCAGTTAAGTCTTTTGTCCACACTCGTCTATATAGTAGTTTGCATCGTGAGCATATCTAAATCGAGTAAGTATTAATRATCTTATTTTATTATAACTCTTAATAAATATATTGCATTAAAAAATTATTTACCAATTTACCATTGCTCTTGGTGCTCGAAAGTCATACGAATATCAATCAAACGGCACAAGTGACTGTCATCCATATTTGTCACATTTCTAATA